AGTCAGCTTATTTAATTGTTGATTAATCCTGTAATTTCATGTTCTTTTTTATTTGAGTTTAGAGCGATTAAAGAAATGAGAGTATTAATTGATACTATCCACAAAGCGCTCAATATTCTATATAAAAATTAATAATTAATATGAATAAGCATAAATATAGATATTTTTATGCTTATTTTCGATATAATTGTTTTTGTATATTTACATGTGATAATACTTTTAAATAGTAACATTATTAATAATGCAATATCTAATAATAATTATGAAATGATAAATATTTTCACATCATTTCTAAGTGCAATGTTTATAAATATTTCAGCAAAATATTGTTAAAATTTATAAAAATATTAAGAAATTGGCATTTTAGTATAAACGAAAATAAAATTTTCCAAAGCTATTAGAAGCTATTATGTATTTTTAAGAAAAATGTGCCTTATTGTAGCCTATTTTAGATAGTTCTATTTTTTTAGATATGATATGTACATAATTAATAGTTACATCAAAATCTTGATATTCACAGGATTATTCATTAACACATTTAAAAATTATTTTGGAATATATTCTTTGACTCGAAGTATGTTTTATTCATTTTATTGTAACTTTATAATGTAACTTTCTGAAAAATTAAACTATTATTTTGTGAAATATACATTTATAAAAATTATGTTATACATTATATTAAATTTCTAAAAAGAAAAAAGGAAACAATAGAGAGGAAAGAGGAAGATCGATGTATATATGTATCACAGTTATAAAAACAAAATTAATTACCTTCAGAAAATTTAAAATTTCTGTTATTTACTGTCACTTGTGTATGCTTGTGTGTATGCATGTATGCTTGTATGTATGTGAGCGCACGCTCGCGTGTATACGTAGAGTATAACAGAGTTCACTTGCAGGACGTATAATAGTAATGTAGGTCTGTGCCAGAAGAAGTAATCTTTTTCTGATAAGATTGTATCTGAGGAATTATTTTTAATGAAGACCAACTTAAATATAATAAATGAATACTGTAATTTGCATTCAAAGAATTATGTATAAATCAAGGATGTTATGAGAATTCGAAAATTCATTATCAAGTTTTCTTTTATTCATATATTAAATCAAATCCACTTTTCAATTGTTGCTTCAGAAATATTAGAAAACTCTCTTATTCATGTAATCAAAATATTTAGATATGCATGACTATCATAAAAACTTTAGAGAAATAATGAAAAATTGTATATGTTCGACATGTGCTATTCCTACTTTATATATAACATAGTCTTCATTTATTAGTTTTAAATTTTTTCGAATATAATTTTGTTATGGAAAATATGACTCTCTTGCACGTGTCCCGTTAAAATACAGGATAACTTAAAATTATATAACATCAAGTAACTTTACATTATCCTATTTGTGTATTTGTATATGTCGCATGTAGTATACGGATATGTGTATGTATATATATTATTCTATATACAGACGTATTAAGTCATCTTCTTTGGCAGGATAATGTGTTACTGGACATCTCTTTTTTATCCGTACTTCCGATAGAATGCATTGATAACAAAATACATAACTACAAAAAAAATTACGTAACAAAATATTAACATTCTATTCTATTTAAAAATAAAATTAAATATATTGCACTGGAAAATATATATATAATTTATTTACCCGGATACCATAAGCACAGTGTGTATACGATGAGGCTTATGACAAAGTGGACAAATTCCTTTGTATTGTTGCGCTATGTTTGGCACCTTTAAAACAGAAGATATATCGTGCTTAGTAATTTATATTCATATTTAAATTACTTGTTAAATTCATAAATGTTATAATTATAACATCAATTTATCTGATATATTTATTTTTTACCTTTGGTGGTGATGGAGCTGGAAGATTCATAATATTCATGTTATAATTTTCCTGACTCCACCAAGAAAGAAATTGTAAAAAGAAAGCTCCCAATTCGAGAGATCCAGTAACGATTCTTTGAAATATATTCCATCCATCACTAATAGTGAAGGAATTATATTTTATTTTTCTTAATAATTCAGTAATAGTGAGAGCAGATTGTGGATCGGCATATGTTAATGTAACGGACAGCAGCCTTAGTAAAGGTGATGGGTACATTGATTTCTCAGATACATAGAGTATGTAACTGTACAGTACGAGAGTTTCGTATATTATGAAGAAAAATGAATGTCCTTTAATGATACATTTATGGAAAAACTTTTCTCTGTTCTGTATCAATAATATTTAATATATTAACAAGTTATTAATACTCAAATTTTAGAATTAGCGTCTTTTAACTTGCCTGTTCCGTCGATGCAAGATTGTCCACTTCTTGAAGTTTATATTTTAAACTATATTGTGCAAGCTTATTTTTTAAATATGGAAATGTCACAATTAATATTAATGATAACATTTGTTTTTTAGATGTTAATCTTTCTTTTAATTTAGAATTATGTACTGTGACACGTTTTAAACCATAAAATGTTTCAGAAAATGACGCAGCTGAAAATAACATAATCCTATTTTTTCAGAAAAATATTAATAAATTATGTCAAAATATCAAATTATCATATAAAAGAGATACTCACAGTATTTCTTTAAATAATATCGTTGAAGAAGTGCATTAAAAATTAAATATCCTTCATCTGTCCATTTAAGAATATGTCCATATCTTTCCATATTAAAAGACACAAGAAACTAAAATAATTAAAGATTTAAAAGTTCCGAATATAAATATAATTTACACAATTTATATAAAACAGCAGTTTTTTAATGTAATGTGTCAATTTGTTACTATTGTTAAATTTTACATACAAATGTATATAAGTCATATATTTTTAAATCTTCAAAATGTATTTATATTATCACATTTCTATGTGTATTTTATATACATTTTATATGTTTAATAAAAATATTTAACAATATATATTATCATATTTACGATAAAATAATATATAAAGAACGAATACATTTCATACAGAAAAAACTATACATTACTACATAAATTTTGTACAAAATAGTATTGTATATAAATAAGACATAATGAACAAAATTTAAACAGTACTATGTACCGAAAGAATTTTATTAAAGGCTGGTTCAAGAGTAGACGCAAGCGATTCCTGTGCAATAATTTCGAAAATAGAAGGTCTGATGTATGCAGTTCCTGTCAAATGAGCACCTTTTTCTGCCATTGTTTAATTGTTTGGTGTACTGTAGATCTTAAAATTAACCTAGATCAATATTAATCAAGCATTAATTTCACATTTCTTCCATCCTTATGAAACAGATTATTCATTAATAATCTCACCGCTTCGTATAAAGTCGAATAAAGTTCAGAATAAAACTCTTGAGGTTAAGGCTCGAATGACGAGCTAAAGCTGATAGTACATCGCATCTCATTAATGCTCATTAAACATCAACATCAATCATCAAACATTAATCGAATTTTTTTGAAGGTGTAAACATACGCCATTTTTAAATTCCTGTCGTGTCCTTTCAGAAAAGCAAAAAAAATACACGCTTGGGCTGCTTTCTCAATTTATGTTTAGAGTGCGTGGCCTCCTTGTTTAACATTTGATAAATGACAAGGATGAAATGATTCCATGAGCCACAGGCTGCTTTTCTTTTAGGAAACACAGTCGATACATTTGGTTGCGTTCTAAAATGCACTGCTAATATTAAAAATCTGTAATTTACGTAATGTATTATAGTTCTAAATTTTGGAACCTTTATAATTTTGTTCAAATTCAATCGATCTTTTTCGAGAATAAAAGCCATTGCAAACGGTGACATTAAACCGGTTTAGTAACAATCGTAATTAGTAAAATCTTGAGTTCGATTGGTGTATTCTTTTAAATCTAAAAATGTGCTCCAATTAAATGCAGGAAATCACTAGCTGCGGTTATTTCTAAATTAGTTTAACGTCGCCGTGTAAACGTAATATATGTTTGCTACACGGAAAATAATCTTGACTGCGTTTCAATATTCACTGCCAGTACTGAAAATATATAGTTCAGGTCACGTATATTATAGATTTTCAGTATTGGCAGTGAATATCGGAACACTTTTGATCGAAGATTGATGAAAACAATCCTGAAGGTCCTGAATGTAACCACTTGGTATTTGAGTACAAGTAGATATTATTTCCGAACGCATTTCTGTCGTTTAGAAACTTCATCGTTTTATCATTTCATGATTTTCTAGTGCCAATTACCAGAGCACATTTCAGTATTATTGTATTTCAGTGGTCAGTATCAAATTCTATAACCTATATGACGATCTGCACATAATTTTATATTATTATTCATATTTAATAATATATAATATTGACATTTTATTCCTAAAAAGTTAAAGTAAGTGAAAAATTAATATTTGAAGCTTGATAATTTGTAATCTTCGAAATTTGGTTTATAAATGTTGAATAATCATGTTCAATAATTATGATTCCAGATATAACATGATATTATCTGTTTGAAATTATTCTAAATTAATTACAAAAGTGGTAATCTTTGTACAAAGCAATAATTTGTTTTCCACTGAGTATTATTACTTATTAAAAAATATGTCGGGGAAAGGAAAGCAGAGTTCTAAAAAGGCTGTTGTCAAAGTACGTGAATCTGGAAAAACGGCACAGGCTTCTGTGGCAAGCTCTGATGCGAGCTCCGAAGTATCAGAACCAACAACTTCTCAGTTCCTTCTAAAGACAATTGACAATAGTCGACATTTGCCAAGATATACTAGTATCTTAAAGCGTACAGCAGAAGAGGGTGTTGTTACGGAAGATCTTGACACACTGCAACTGGAACTCGAGACTCTCCTATCGGCAGTTGTTGTACGTCATCGCACACTTCAGGATGAAATTACCAACTTGTTTTCAGCAGAAGAGCGAGACAGAAGAGACAGAAGATCGAAGAGTGGAAAGAGTTTGTCCCTAATTGATAAAAAGGTGCGTGAAGAGAAATTGAAGCCAAAGGAGATCAATACTAAGAGTCAATCACCCTTACATACAAAACTCTTTAAACAAAAGACAGTAGGAGGTTCAGCCAATCAAACGGTACCAAATTTACATGAAATTTCAAGAATTGAAGGATCTAAGTCTGATGCACCAAAACTGCCTTTACCTAAGAATGATACTCCCAACAAATTCTGGGCATCAGTAGATCCCTACTGTACTGACATCATGCCTGATGATATTAAGTTATTAGAGGAACTGATTGCTACGCATGGCGATATAAGTGAATTTAAGAAGATTCCTCCTTTAGGTCGTCATTATAGTTTAATGTGGGCACATAATGATTTATTGCAGGAAGAAGATGCAGCTAATCCAAATAGAGAAAAGAAAAAGAATCGTACTGATATGTCGCATTTACTAACCAAGAGTGATAAAAAAGCTAATAGCATTGCAGGACCCCTTACACAGAGATTGGTTTCTGCTCTTTTGGAAGAAAATGTATACATTGCAAGTAATAACATGGAAAACAAATTATTTCGAGATGGCGATCCGCCTGTCTTGAGAGATCTAACTATCCAGAATTCCATGAACCTGGAGATAAGAATGCATAAAGAACTGGTTGAGCAAGGTATTTTGGAACCTGATGCACAAAAGAAAAATCAAGAGGACGATGAAATTCTTGCAGAAATTAAAAGATGTCAGCATGAACTTTCTGCATTATCTAATCATAATGTTACACAATTGAAAAGATTGTTAAATCTGGCTCAAGAAGAAAGCAAAAGACAAACATTGAAACGAAAAATTAGCATTGCGGACAATGAGGTAATAGAACATTATAAAAAATTGATTCTGGCGAAACAGGGAAAAGCTCCATTATCGAGAAAGGATCAAGAAAAAGCGTGGGCGTGTCTTCGAGAAAGAGAAAATCTTTTAGAACAATTAAGCGTTACCAAATAGCTCACAGATATATTTAAACTATCTAATGATTATCATCAAAATTATTCATTGCGGTCTTTAAAACGAATATAAAATCATTATAAATTTCAATTTATGTTAAGAAATATATAATTTTAATATAGAAAAGTTAATATGCGTAATTATTATGTTAAAAATTAATTCGTAAAACATAAAACTTAAAATCTAATAACGTTATACCAAAGTTGAACATATATATGTTGCGTAATTAATTTAGAATCTCTAAAAAATACTAGAAGAGAATTTCACAAATTAATATACAATTCAATATAGATTTTTTTTTACTAAAGATTTATAATCATTAAATTAGTTTAAACTCTACATAAGTTGTATACGTCAATAATTACCAAACGAGATAAAAATTTAGATCTTATACTCATAAATCTATCTTTTACTTATAAACATTATTGTATTATTAATCTTTTTTTATTTATATATAAAATATTTTTTTTTAATATAAGTAAAAGTTTTGGTAATATGCAATCTGTAATATAAAAAAGAGATAAAAAATATCAATGTTAATGTTTCTAAACATGTATCTTAAAAATCTATTGCATATACAAGGAGTTCCATCCATTTAACATCATAAATAATTTGTAATATATGTAATATTATTCATTGTATGAAAAACTGTTACATACAGAAATTGCATGATTTTGAGAGGATCATAATTAACATAATCAGTATATATTTTTTTTATAAGTGGAAGTATTTCAAAGATTTAAAAAAACTTTTAAAAAGAATTTACCTTTATTTTCTAAAATAAAATCGTCAACAAAGATTATTATAAAGTTACATTTAGAAATGATTAGTTTAGAAATTATTTTATATTTTATTTTAATATAAAATATGAAATATTTCGTAAAAAATATTCATTTTTTAATTAGTATAGCTTAATACTTTTACAAATAGAATAACGGAAAATCTTGATGTTCTTTAGAAAAATTTATTACTGAGAATTACTAAGAATTTACATTTAGTTAATAATATTTCAGCAATCTTTGATATATATTGCGTCAAATCATTGGTATCGATGAAAAAGCAGTCATTCCAAATATTAAACTTTATTTGATTTCTATGATTCGGTGGCAACTGAAGTGATGATACAACCGAATTGATCTAAAAATATGACAAACCTCTTATTTTCAATTGCAGTGGATTGCTTCAAGAGCAATTTATGACGTCATACGATCTATAGGTTACAAATGTATAATTATAATCGTTTAAATGATTAAATGTTTAATACTTCAAAATATAAAAAATATAAACATAATTATATAAAAATTATTTCACAGTAAATTTATTATGCCCGAGTCCACCAACATAGATTTACTTTAATCTCGGTTTAATTTGCTCTTCTCTTTTTCTAATTCTTAAAAAAAAGATGAGAAAAAGATGAGGAGTAAGTTGAGATTAAAGTTAATCTACGTTGGAATCGGGCATTAATAATTTAATACATTTTTTTTCTTTACAACATATTTTAATCGAACCTGCGTCTGTGACGCAAATCTAGCTTAAGCAATCTTGGATCGATTCAAACCCATAATAGTTGAAAACTTAATAAGCTTTAGACGACATATTATAGATGAGTCAAAATTGTCTCAATTGCATATGCATTCATAGTTGATTTCACGTATTTACACCTGCACAATTCGAGCTTTATGTCACTTTTCAAAATATCATATATCATAATGCTCCATATACAGAATGTTTCATAGAATTTATATAAACAACGAAACTATTTTTATGCATATCAAATCATGTGTACATATTTTAAGGAGGTTCTAGCATTTGATCAAACTGAGTCGGAGA